ACGATACTATCGATAGTGCGGGCGCCTCCATCTTCTTTCACCGTCATTCCTAAATGCCTACAAACAGCAGCGCATTCCTGTTGCAGAGCAACCTCTATNAAATAAGAAATGTTCTTAAATGATCAAAAATACAGTAGAGCATTGATTATCCGACCCCCGATTAACTGTCACATTGGTTAACCGACTGTTCTAGTTGGCAAATTTCAAATGTCCGCTAGTGATGTGGCGCTACAGTATTTGGCTATGTCTTGGCTACTTTAATATTATTTTTTTAAATTTTTGCGCGTTTTAGCTGGCAAACTGGCTCGACCATGAAAGGAAGGCCAGTATTTAAATGCAACCTAATTTTCTAATTATGAGTGGTTGTTTTTGAGCAATAAAATAATTCAAAAAATAATTTTTTACTATACAATAGCAACGATTATTATTTTTTAAAAAATTTGTTAGGCTTAACATCGATGAAAATTCAACACAAAGTAGGTTAATAGTGATATACTAATATACTAGACAAATTATGTATTTTTTTCATTCTTTTTGGTTATCCAATTTTTTCAGTTATCCGACCAACCCGAGTCCCCGATTGAGTCGGATAATCAATGCTCTACTGTAATAGTTATTAGTAAATAAATAATATTGTTAAGTTATTTTTTAAATATTAATTTAAATAAAATGAAACAAAATACTTTTATTAAAAGAATTCATTTAATTATATTTCCAAATTGTCAAAGATAGAAAAAGCAACTATGAGCTAATGAATTTGAACAAATAATCTTTGAAGGCATTCTGACATCCAAAGCATATAACTTTCCATACTTTTTTAAATCATTTAATAAAACACTCATAAATTTTGAATGTAGAAATGATTTATAAACCCAAGTAATTCAAATAAGAAAGTCTTATGATAAAAAATAAAAGATAATAGCTAGTCTGTCAGAAGACTGGTATATCTTTTCATTTTCTTCTTAATATATCTGTGAAATATCCTCTCATCTAGAGAGTATACAGTTCTTATTTAAATTACTATATTGTCTTGGTAGTCATACATTATACAAATAATTTTTGTTCATAATTTCAGATAATTCTAATTTTTGTTATGATTAAAAATGTTTGCAGATTCTAAATAACTATTCTGCCTCATTCAAATTAGAAAAAAGTCCTTATTTTCTATTTTAGCTTACTATTGATCAGTGCTTCAATTGCAACAGAGTCAAAAGTTCTCTTTAAGTCTAAAAATGCCAGAAAAACATTTTCCTAAGATTAATTTGAATAACCAAATATAACAAGAAAATTGCAGTTTCTATATGACTATTTTTCATAAGCAAACATTTTGTTATGTTTGCTTAACCCAATAAATTTGTAAAGCCAAACCAGGTGAAAATAAAGATATTTTGTTTTGACTTTTTGAATAAGATTGCCTCTATTTGCTAATCAGAAACCATACCAGTATAACAAGTCCTATTAATAGACAAGGTCCAAGTAGACAAGAATACAAACAGAAGTTGATAAGAGTAAGGACACAGAGGCAAAAAAAATTAATATTTAATTAATTACTAAATTAATTACTTGAATCCGCAACTGCTTACATGCGGATGCATTGCCAGTTACGTGGTAAGTGGGAGTTGTGGATTTGAGTCCCACTCTGGGCCAATGTTTTTCTTCCAGAACATTATAAATTATTTAATAAATATTAATTTAATTATAATTATTAAATTTAGCAAAAGATGGTGCCTAACTGCCTAACACCATCCTCCAATGACAAATTATTTAGTAATCAATTAAATATAATCTAACTTGTAAGAAAAGTAGCTCAATGTAATCTGGTAGTTGTTTGGCTTTACTATTTTTCACAAATGCAAACTGATTTTCAGCTCTTAAATTTAAATTTACTGTCAATGCTATCAATCTATTTGCTATCATTTTCACAAAAATTTTTCTAAATCTAGATAACAATGCTATAGGTCTATAGTCAGATGTAATAGCTGTGTTCAGTTTTTATAAATCATAGAAAATATAATTTTCCAGATAACTCCCAGTATTTCTTAAAACAATAAAGCCCTTTAATAACAGAGAATTAACATCTATAAATAACTTTATAAACTCATTTTTATTAGATTATAGTCTGATACTATTTTTAACTATAATGTTTTATAGTCTCTTTCAATTCTTCAATTTTTTGATTTCCCTTTTGAAATAATTTTCTATCATTTAATTAGCTACATAGACACATCATTTGTATTCATAATCATCATATATACCTATAAAAAATTCAGACCATTTCTCTGTTAAAATTCCACCATATCCACCAGCTTGTTATATTATAACAAATTTATTTATTATTCTCCAGAATTTCCTTGGATTTTTCTGAAAGTACAAACATTTCTCTCATTTCTATAATGGTTATATTTTTTATTAATTTATTATAAAATCTCTTAGTCTGAATGAATGTATTTAATCAAGTTTTTTCAACTCATATATTTCTTGAATGCATGTAATTTAGTATTTTTCCTAGTTTTTAATTTATAGCAGAAACTATCAAACAAGGGATTTTTAAAGAAACTTTTTATTATTTCTTATTTTTCTAGCAATTATAAGATTCTAGACCTTTCCATCTAACATATAACTCAATATTAGATAAATTTAAATAATGTTGTTTACTTGTTAATATATGCTTCCTGTTCTTAATTAGTTATATTATGCTTGTGTCCATTTTGGACATTCTTGTGAACTAGAATTTGTTATACTGAGGGAAGAGAAACACACCATTTCCAATTAAAATATATTTATTGTAATGTAATCTTGTATTATAAATATATCTTAATTGGAAATGGTTTCTCTTCCCTCAGTATACCAAGTTCTAGTTCACAAGAATGTCTAAAGTAAACACAAGCATAATATAATGTTTATTATTTTCAATATAATATTTATCCTTCTAACACAAAGGAATTTTAAATTGTAAATCATTATTACTTGAAAAGATACCTAAATTAGGAAATTATCAGACAAATTCTCCTCCGAAACCTAGAACATAACACAATTATCAATGAAATTCTCAGAACAAATTACATAATCAATCACTAATCTGCCAGAAAAACTCAAATAAAAATAATTGGCTGGAACATTTTTTTTCCATCCTACCACTGGATATAAATAGTTGTTTATTCCAAATTACATTTAAGCAAATCCTTCTCCTCACTATTATCTTCTCATCTTTGTATATTATATACATTACTATTTTGCCCATAGTATTTTAAATTCATATTCTCTGTGGTCAAGGACAATCAAACAACACGGGTTACTTCCTGTTTACAATATTAGAGTAATAACTATAAATAAAAATTTATAAATAATTTTTTAAATAAGAAATGTTCTTAAATGATCAAAAATACAGTAGAGCATTGATTATCCGACCCCCGATTAACTGTCACATTGGTTAACCGACTGTTCTAGTCGGCAAATTTCAAATGTCCGCTAGTGATGTGGCACTACAGTATTTGGCTGTCTTGGCTACTTTAATATTATTTTTTTAAATTTTTGCGCGTTTTAGCTGGCAAACTGGCTCAACCATGAAAGGAAGGCCAGTATTTAAATGCAACCTAATTTTCTAATTATGAGTGGTTGTTTTTGAGCAATAAAATAATTCAAAAAATAATTTTTTACTATACAATAGCAACGATTATTATTTTTTAAAAAATTTGTTAGGCTTAACATCGATGAAAATTCAACACAAAGTAGGTTAATAGTGATATACTAATATACTAGACAAATTATGTATTTTTTTCATTCTTTTTGGTTATCCAATTTTTTCAGTTATCCGACCAACCCGAGTCCCCGATTGAGTCGGATAATCAATGCTCTACTGTAATAGTTATTAGTAAATAAATAATATTGTTAAGTTATTTTTTAAATATTAATTTAAATAAAATGAAACAAAATACTTTTATTAAAAGAATTCATTTAATTATATTTCCAAATTGTCAAAGATAGAAAAAGCAACTATGAGCTAATGAATTTGAACAAATAATCTTTGAAGGCATTCTGACATCCAAAGCATATAACTTTCCATACTTTTTTAAATCATTTAATAAAACACTCATAAATTTTGAATGTAGAAATGATTTATAAACCCAAGTAATTCAAATAAGAAAGTCTTATGATAAAAAATAAAAGATAATAGCTAGCCTGTCAGAAGACTGGTATATCTTTTCATTTTCTTCTTAATATATCTGTGAAATATCCTCTCATCTAGAGAGTATACAGTTCTTATTTAAATTACTATATTGTCTTGGTAGTCATACATTATACAAATAATTTTTGTTCATAATTTCAGATAATTCTAATTTTTGTTATGATTAAAAATGTTTGCAGATTCTAAATAACTATCTGCCTCATTCAAATTAGAAAAAAGTCCTTATTTTCTATTTTAGCTTACTACAAAGATTAAACTATCAAAAAAAAAAAATTGTTCCTCAGACATAACTGAAAATATGTTTGATTTTCTCATCTCTATGCATATAATTGAATAATTAATAAATAAAAAAAAAAACAGAAAAACCTTTACTAAATTTGTATTATCTGTTCAAAAATCAATATCAGATTCAAGAGCTACAGTATAAAGTACTAATTGTTTCTATTATTTATTACCAATTTATTTTAAGTCAAACAATTGTTTATGAATGATGTATTGAATTAAATGTTTAATTTTAATTTATTATAATTAGGAATCTAATCTAATACATCCTTATGATTATTAATATTTATAAACATTTAAATAAACAATATCATATTTAGATATTCTTCCCAAAGTTTTATTAGAAAAGTCTGATAGTTGAAGTAAATAAAAAGATCAAATGATCATTAATCAATTAACTTCCCAATTATTATATTTATTCTGAGGAAAAAAAATTCTAAAAGATTAGTTTCTATTTAAACACTTACAATCTAATAGATTGTGTCAGTTATTTAAACTACACTATAAATTAAAATTTACAATATATACTTACTGTTTTGTAGATTCATTATCTGATTCTGTTCTAATAGAATTTATTAGATAATTTTCAATAAAATCAACTGTAGACTTCACAGTCACCTTAAAGACACATGTTAAAATCATATGAAACAAACATAAATAACTTCAAATTTAATGTCACAAATATATTCTAATTGCATAACAACAATGGCAGTTTTGCAATCTGACATTTCTAATAAGGTAAACAAATATGACTAATGATTATAAAAAAAAATTAACCTTTGTCTTAGTTATATTTTCCAACTTGTGTTCACACTGACAACAAATTAGTGGTTTTTTTTGTGCATTGCTATCTTTTATTCACCATACAAAATATAATTATGATATGAAATGTTTTATGTTATATAATTTCTTTGGCAACAATATTTAT